CAAAGTTTCAAAATTCTGAATAAGTTCGGAATGAAATTAAATCCAACTAAATGTTCTTTTGGTGTACCTTCCGGAGAATTCCTAGGTTACATAGTCACGAAAAGAGGAATAGAAGCAAATCCTAATCAGATCAACGTTTTCCTCACGATGCCTTCACCAAAAAACATTAAAGAGGTCCAACGATTGACGTGCAGAATCGCCGCGTTGAATCGTTTCATCTCAAAGTCTACCGATAAATGTCTCCCTTTTTATCAAATCTTAAAAAGGAACAAAAAATTTCGGTGAGATGATCAATGCGAATCAGCTTTCGATCAACTCCAAACTTATCTGACAACACCACCGGTTCTCTCAAAACCTGAGTCAGATGAGAAAATTTATCTTTATTTTTTGGTTTCTAGTCATTCTGTAAGTGGGGTTTTAGTTCGAGATGATCGAGGTGACCAGAAGCCAATTTTCTACATAAGTAAATCTCTTACCAGTCCGGAAACGAGATATACCATGATGGAAAAATTAGATTTAGCAGTAGTCGTATCTGCTAGAAAACTCAGATCTTATTTCCAATCTCATCTGATAGAAGTTTTGACTTCTCATCCACTTCGCTCAATTATTCACGGTCCAAGTCAGTCCGGTAGATTGGCGAAATGGGCCATCGAACTCAGTGAGTACGATATAGAATAAAAAAGTCGAACTAGCGCAAAAGCACAAGTCCTAGCTGATTTTTTGACCGAACTACCATTAGATGATGGAATCATTATAGAAACAGACTCTACATGGAAATTACATGTAGATGGCTCTTCTTCTAAACAAGGATCCTAAATCGGTATTAGGCTCGAGACTCCGACAAAGGAAATAATCAAACAATCATTTCGATTAATGTTCCCGGCTTCCAACAACGAAGCGGAATACGAAGCTCTCTTAGTAGGACTTCGGCTTGCTCTTGCAATTGGAGCAGAAAAAATAATAGCTTATTGTGATTCTCAGCTAGGTGTGACCTAGTTCGCTGGAGATTACGAGGCTAAGGCTCCTCGAATGGGAGCCTATCTTTCTGCTGTCAAAAAGTTAGCCAGAAAATTCAAAGAATTCGAAATAGTCCGAATACCTCGAGGGGAAAACACTTCGGCAGACGCTTTAGCTGCCCTAGCTTCTACCTCCGATCCCGAGCTCAAGTGAATTATTCCAGTTGAATGTATTATTTCACGAAGTATATCAAATGAAGAAACAGGAAACGATAACATTGTGGAAGCCGAGCATATCGAAACTCCAGAATTAAATTCCAACAACGAGAATAGTTTACTTGTTGTCACCAGATCACGAGTAAAGTCTCAAGATGACAAACTTACTCCACCATCGGAACTTTCTAAAAGAAAACCGAGAAGAAAATTAAAGAATCAAGAGGTTCCCATTAAAGAACCATCTCGAACAGAAAAGTCACTTCCAGATATAACAAGTAATGAAGAAGATCCGGCGACAGTCAAAACTGACCCTGATATTCCTACTGAGCCGGAACTAAGGAGGTTTATATTCGAGGATAATACTTCCGCTAATGATTGGGGGGCTGACTGGAGGGTACCCATCAAAAATTTCATTCTTAATGGAGAACTACCATCGAACAAGTGGCAAGCTCGCAAATTAAGAATCATCAGCGCTAAGTATTGCATAATTAAAGAGTCATTGTACAAATGAGGTGTCAGTGACCTTTATCTTTTATGCATTTTTGGACCCGAAGTTGAAATAGTGACAAGCGAGGTCTACGAAGGACTTTGCGGTAGTCATTCTTCGGCACGAGTAATGGCTTTCAAAATCAAGCGGTTAGGATATTTTACGCCAAACGGTGTAAAAAGTGTCAGATGCACGCTCCTCTTATTCACCAGCCATCTTTTGTCATCTATATCCGCTCTTTACCCTTTTGTGAGATAGTCAATGGATATAGTTGGCCCGATGCATCACTCAACACGAGGCGTCCAATACTTATTGGTTCTAACGGACTATTTTTCCAAATGGATCGAAGCTGAAGCTTACATAAACATAAAAGATTCTGTGGTAAAGACATTCTTGTGGAAACACATTATTTGTCACTATGGAGTTCCCTATGAAATTGTAACGGACAATGGTCCTCAGTTCATTTCAAATGATTTTGAAGATTTTTATTCTGTTTGGGGAATAAAACTTACCTATTCAACGCTGAGGTATCCTCAAGGAAATGGGCAAGCAAAGGCTTCCAATAAAAACATTCTCAGTAATCTTAAAAAAACGTTTGAGTGCTCGAAAAGATGGGTGGTATGACGAGCTGCAACCTGTGTTGTGGGCATATCGAACAACCCCAAGGCGAGCAACGGGAGAAACTCCGTTCTTATTAGTATATGAAATGGAAGCAGTAGTCCCAGCCGAGCTGAATGTTCCCGATTTACGCCGAAGCGAAGCTCCATTTAACGAAGAACTAAATTCTAAATTACTAGAAGACGTTCTCGATACAATTGATGAAAGGCGAGACCAATCCCTTATTCGACTTCAGAACTACCAGCAATTGACCACTCGATACTATAACTCAAAGTTGAAAAACAGACCTTTAAATGTAGGAGACTTTGTTTTAAGGCGAGTGTTCGATAACACAAAAGAAGAAGGAGCTGGAAAACTCGGTATTAACTGGGAATGCCCTTATCAAATCACGGAAAAATCTGAAATGGTGTATACCATTTAAAAGACCTTGATGGAAATCCTGTTCAAAGGTCTTGGAACATCATCAACTTGAAAAGGTTCTATTGCTAAAAATAAACTTATTCGAACTACGATTTGGCTTGATCCTATTTTGGATACGTAGACAGCTCGCTAAACACGAGTCCAGCTATAAAAAATAAAAATATTATTCCGATCATGGGATCTTGTTTTTAATAAGCTCGATCCTCGAGCATAAATACTATGATATTAAAATACGTTGCGAACAATGTATAAAGAAATATTTCTACCTAAACCAGATCTACAAGGGTCTTGGATTACAGAATAGCTCTGCTCTTTGGCATGCGAGGTCAACGATGCTCAGAATGCAGCCCGACATGTTTCCGTACTCCTGGAGGCCTATCTCGATCCAATCGGAAGGGTGGGCTTCGAGGCGATGGAGTACGCGAGCAATATCGAGGCGACGCTTCTCAAGTTCCATTCTCCTTTTCCTAATCTTAATTTTCTCACCTTCGAGCTCGTTGTGCCAAGTGATAAGCTGAAGAAAATAAAAAGCTTCATTTAGCAATAACAAAAGGAGTCAAATCACTAGGTTAGACAATACCTTGTTAATAAACTCCTCAGCCTTGACACGATCTTGAGCTGATAATCTCTCGATTAACACGATTGGAACCTGAATGCTGGTTCCCCACCCTAATGTACGTGACTCTTCCGGTTCGCTAGTTGCTTCTGTTTTTTCAAGCTCGATGTCTGACGTTCCCAGAAGATCATCGCTTATCATTTTGAATGAGTCAGAGGGATTCTCTGAAGAATTACTGTTGATAAAACTCAATAATGAACTACACCCACTTTATATTCGAAAAATACTCGATCATATTTAAGAGGGTCAATTGACGATTTCCCAAATCTGAAATTACTACTCTCATGGAAAATGTAATTGAGTTAATTGCTAATTATATTTCCTAGATTAACGCATTAATTAAATGAGATTGAAATAAATCAATAAATTTAAAGCAAAATGGGGAATATAATTAATGTCGTTGGGCCGTTAGCCCAATAGAATATTACAAAATATTAATAATTAAGAGGGAGGAGAGTTCGCAGAAGGAACTCTCCTCTGGTACATATCTCAATGCTTCTTCAGAAACCTGATATGTTTCCGAAGGCAGGCAGGAATGCGAGCGATAGAGTCGAATCCCCTCCTCTCCCAGTTGTGAACATCCGACTCCAAACGACGGATCTTCTTTTCAGTTCTAGCAATCATGTCCTCAAGGTCACGACGTTTTCTTCCAAGACGTTGCCTTTCGGAGCAGAGGAAAACGTACCTTTTGGTGATCTGCAAGAGAACAGATGCATTACAAGTCTATCAAGTAAAACCTTGAGACAACTGGTATCGAGTTCAAACATGTTCCATGAATTCATGGCACTCGATCTTTTCTTCCTTAGAGAAGGAAGAAAGAAAACAAGGAATGGCCACTCCATGTGGAGTAAATCCATCCCCCGTCAGAAACAGGGATTCGTTCGAGGGGAAGCATGGTGGATTAGGATCAGAAGGATCGCCTTGGGGAGAGGCCATCGTGAACAAGAAATTTAGAAAAGAAGAAATGCAAAGTTCCTTATGAAGAAAAGATTTTTTGAAAAAATTCCAGAATCTTACTCTGCTTATATAGAAAAAAATATATAAGAGCACTCACTTGAGTATTTATTGAAAAAAGAAGTTAAACGTCAATCTATTGATCTGACAGTTACAGCCTTTCGATTTTCGCGTACATGCACAAACAAGACCTACAAAATATAGGTTATTCAAGTATCATTTAACACCTAGTAGGCGAACTTAATTTCAAACGAGAAATTCAAGGACAATCAATAAATGGTATCATACATTTTTTTTTTTGTCTTTTTAAGAAAGGCAAACAGTTCTCATTGAAAATCTTTCTAATCGAACACATTTTGAAGTATCGCGAAGTGTTCTTGTAAGCCGAGCTCTAACCTCGCAACCGAGAGACAGAGAAAAAATTCTAATGTTTTTTCTTTAAAAAAGGCAAGTAGGTCTGATCAGCCTATCTCTCCTATAATTCTAAACCATTTCGGTTAGGAGGACTTTCCAAACCCTCAAGGTAAAACCGATGGTTTCCACCAAAATTAAATATTTATTTCTAAAGAAATTTTAATTAAAAACCCCTTGGGCAAATTATTCAAAAAACAGTAATAAAGCCCCCTTGGGCAAAAAGCTCGAAGAGTAATAAAACAGCCCCATGGCCAACAAAGCAAATTTCATGTCTTAAAATTAAAGGGACATTACCCATAAAAGGTGAATGCAATCACTATCATTCATTCATAGGCGAACCGCCTTCATTTTCTACTTGGCTTGAAACAGGAAGAGCGCCCCCGGTGGTAGCATCTTGAGTTGTGAGAACCGCCTTAGGGATAAGCAAACTAGCATCCTGAGGAGGTTCGCTACTCAGATCAAAGTCATCTCCAATAGTCGAAGAAATGGGAGCATCCTGACCAGCAAACCCTTGAGTTCGACTCGAAGAGATTTTGTCAACGTTGGTTCCGAACTCATTAAAACGAGCATGAGGAGAACCAGTTAACACCATCTCATCCAAAGAAAAACCTGTATTATGTTCGGTCAATGGAGGGGAATCAGCGAACTCGGACGCAAATTGCTGTAAATCCAAATATGGCTGAGGAACAGTAGCTAGCTTAGCTTCAGTTTCAGCAAGTTCGGCACTAACTGTCTCCTTTTCCTTAGTCAAATTAATTGTTCCCTCCTCTATCTCCGTGATCAAATCAAGATTGCTCTTCATCTCATCACGCTCGAATTTAAGCTTGTTCCAAGCCTTATCCGCAGAAATAAATTCTTGCACAGCAAGAAGAAACTTTTGCCCAACTACTTTAACCTCTTGCCGAGCATCATGAGATATTTTGCGAACATCTTGATCTTTCAGCTTAGAAAGAGACACATTTTTGCGTCCGAGCTCATCAGCAACTGATTTGGTCTCGTTAAGCTTTGATCTCAGAAGCTCGATCTCGCCCTTTGCGAAGTCATGGTCGGCAAGGGCAGCTTTTAGCTTTTGCTCAGCCTCAGCCAAATTCTTCTTTGTCTCCTCGCCAGATCTCTCGAGTCGCTCGATTTCTTCCCGACGAACTGAATCGAGATCAGCAGCTTCTTTCACGAGCTGATTGGAAGATTGTAGATTCTCAATCTTTTCCTCAGCAACAGCAGCTCTCTTGGAAACTTTGACAAGCTCCTCCTTATAATAATGATGATGCTGTTTATATCTAGGGTTGCATGATAAAAGGAGACGTAGTAAGAAAAAGGAGGTTCAAAATCAGGTGTTTAGAAATTCGAATAATCAAACCTGAGATGAGTGGAAAGAATGACTGATATACATCTTCTTGATTTCATCCCTCCAGCGCTCAAAAGATGGGAGTTTCTTCCCAAAGCGAGTGTGGAAACATCTAAAGATATTTCTAATCTTTTCTTTATCTAGAATAAGGATATTTGTGTGGATATTGAGTTCCTTAAAAGATCGGTTACTCTCCAGTAACAGAGGATTTTGAGGGTTACCTGATTGGGATGAAGCTCTGGCAACGAGTCCTGAGCTCGGAGATGATCGAGCTCTAGAGGTATTACCTCGAGGACGTCTAGGGGGTAGCATCCCTGAACTCAGTGGCTCTCTTAAAACAATTCCTGAATCAGGATTTCTATCCTGAACATCAGCAGATTCAGGAACTGGGAGACTTGAAGGAATGGCTTCGTCTTTCCTTGTGCTCTTGGACCTTCCCTGAAGCGGGGGTTCAGGTCCCACCTTCCTCTTCTTCGTAAAGGAGGAGGCACCTAAGTGACCTTCCTCTTCAACAGTGGCAGCGACCATGTTGTCTGCTGCTGGGGTAGAGGGAGGAGCATTGTTTATGGTGACGCGCCATTGACTTTGAACCTTCGAGAGATCCGTCGTCAACTAGAAGAGTTTTCTGGTAGACTTTGTCATCCCCGGTGGAGGTTGCATTTTTCTTATTTCTCCCAATCAGGGAGATCTGATCTTTGACCTTCTTGTCTGCTTCTCTGATCCTTCTCCTATCTCGAGCATTCAAACCCGAGAGATCAATTTCAACGGGAGGAGGGTCGACGGGGTGAGTAAGGACCATTTTGACAGAATGTCCGGCACCGTGAATTCTCTCCAAAGTAAAAGAATTCCAATTTACTGGCCTCTCCAAGATGGCTTTGTAGAAGTTGAGAAAATCAACGGATGGAACTGGCCGAATTTGGGGACCTGCAGAAAAACAAGAAAATATTAAAATGCAGTTTGAAATAGCATAGGAAACTTATTTAGTTAAGTCCTAATTTCTACCCAAATTCGATGACCAGTGAATTTGAAGGAGTTCAGAAGAACTCCGAATAGAAAAACTATTTACGTGGAAGAAGAACCAAAACTTCTTCCAGGTGTTGTCTTTTTGAGGCAGGCCGTCAATGAGATTCCGGTCTGCGATCGGATAAAGGGCATAGTACCCAGAAGTTCGGGATTCACGAGCCTAGAAGTATTCCAAGAGCTCGCTAAGTCCCAGCGAATAGCCCGCCTCCGCCGCAACAGTGAAGGTACATATAAGATACCGGAGCATGTTGGGCGACATTTGAGAGAAGGCGATTCCCAGATGGTTGAGGTAATGATGCAGCGTATATTTGGATAATTCCAAATATCTTTATTATTTCCTAATATCTTTATTTAATTATTTAGATAATTTATATTTATTGTTTTATGATTATTCTAGAGTTTTTAGATTTATTATAAATAAGGCTTTTAGGCCTAGGGTTGTATTAAGTTGATTTGATTAATAAAATTATAGAGCTTTTAGCTTTTCAGAGAAGAGTATTCTCTAATCCTTGTTTTCGGTAGATCTCGAGAGATCTCAACGATTATAAGAAGACGTAGGATTCGGTATTCGCGGAGAATCAACGAATTCCTCACGTTTTCTCGTTTCTGCTATTCTGAGGAATCAACAGATCCGAGAAACCCTAGTTTTCCGGTATTCCGAGGAATCAACGGATCTCTAGTTCTATCCTTAAAGCTTCCGCTACTTCAGTTGGTATCAGAGCTGCGTCTCTTTGATTTCTCAATCGAAGAACGATTCTGGTGATCATGTTGAGTGGTAACTTTTATCCTTTTGTAGAAGAAAGTTTGTTTGAAGATAGTTACAGAGAAATCTACGGTGATCCTATCTACGATATCTATGAAGATGATGTCTTGGTTATTGATCATGTAGATTTTGTGTTCAACAATGGTGCGTTCGAGAAAATCTGTGCAGAATTCGTGCAAGCTGAAATCTGTGCAGGATTAAAGAATGATCAGATATGTGCACAATTCGTGCATAATCATAGATGTGCAAAATTCGTGCATAATCATAGCTGTGCAAAAATCGGGTGTGATAAGATCAATGCGAAAATCGTGCAGAAAGTGATTGGTGCAAATTTTGGGTATGATCTGTTTCATGAAGATTTTTGGGATAAAAGATTTCGTGCAAATTTCTGGTCAGATCCAGCTCGTGCAAAGATCGGACAGAATCAAGAGATGAAGATAAAGATGGATCTTCGAAGATCTCCATTGCTGAAAACCCTGATGAAGATTCGAGGACGAATCTTTCTTGGCCGGCGAGAGCTGATGCAGCGCAGATACAAGATTCGAGGACGAATCTTTTCTTGGTTGGCGAGACCAACTGATGAAGCTTCGAAGACCCAAGAATCTCGCTACATCAGGTAAATAAGAAGTATCTCGGGAAGGGGAAAGAAGAAGTCGCATCCTTTGAAATAAATTTCATAGGCGCAGCAATAACTTTCTCGCCCCGACTCCGGAGACTCGTAGGGCTCCGGGACCACCATCTCCACTTCAGGGGGAATGTGGCATAAGCGACGAAGATCATTAAGAGAGTCAACAGTTGATTGACTCTGAGGGTGAAGATCAAACCCATCTCCAGCTTGGGAATGAGGTTTGGTTTCGTCACCCATGAAAGCTTCGAGGTCTTCAACCTCATATTCGCGAGTTTCAGAAGGAAAGTTCGACATTTTACGACATTTTACTGTAATAAGAGTAAAAGTTTTCTAGGTAAAGAAGATAAGATGGGAAAGTAATATTACCTCTTAGAACCCTAAAATATGATGGAAGACCGCCTCGAAAATATTGGGAAGTGGGACAGTTTTCCCGCGGTATTAATATAAAATTAAGAAATTAATAATGACGGTTGTCAGGGAAATCAAATCATTTGATTTTCCGAGATCAGCGTAACAGCGTAAAACATGGAGAAATTCCAGAATGACAAAGATCTCGATTCGTTAATTACTGTTTACTTAAGTCTTCCAAGCCGAGCACTCGGCTTGCAAGACTTGGGGGGCTAAATGTTGGGGTCGGATCCCACACCTTTTCGGTAGGATCCACCTGGATCTGTCCAAGTCATTATTACATAATAATCCTCTTGGAATTCAAGATATTTTATTTAAAGTATTTAACTTGACCAGTCGGGAGTTCGATTCAGTCCACTAGAAGAGTTCGATCTTTGCCAGTATGGAGTTCGCTCTTATTCGATATATAGTTCGCATAGAGAAAGGCCGAAGCGAGGAGAATATTGTTCGAGGCTCGCAGTAGCATCAAAGCGTGGGAGTTCGGAGTAAACAAGAAAGAGTTCGGAAGACCCATGTGAAGCCCAAGATAGTTCAAATTCGAGCCGTTTCGGTCAAATTGTAACTTACATGAATAATGCGGATCAATATGATTATGAGCATTAAATGATCGCATTAATCATGTTTTCTCTATAAAAACAACCTCAAACGCATGTGTTTGGGGACATACTTCTCTCAGATTATTTCACATTACGATTAAGCAATACAATATACTCTCTCTCTTTACTATTTCGCAAGGCTTTGTGTACTTCGCTCTTATCAAATTTCTTTATTTTTTTCTTGGTTAAATTTCCTTTCAAATTCCCATATTCATTTTGTCGATTTTAAGAGTTTTTCTCCACTAAAATACTTAAAGGCAATCGAGTGTGAAACCTACATCCACAATACCAATGGGTTGCCTCCCACTAAACGCTTGTTTTGAGTCATTAGTTTGACTATTTCGAAGCTCAAGATGTAGGTGGAGCATGAGAACTGTTTGAAGACTTCTCAGAAGATTGACGCCTTGCCATCCAAGGTGGAGTGTAAGCGTTGGACGGGTGCTCATGTCCAAGGAAAATTATTGGAGTTATAGCGTCATTTGATCCATTTCCTGCATCAACAACAAAAGAAACAAGCACTCGAGAAACTTGTGACTTATTTACCTGTGAAGCCTTCTCCGAAGATATGAAGTATTATTAGCCAAATAAGTAAAAAGATGAGGAGGGGATGAGCAATACCTCTGCTGATGAAGAGGTGGATTGCGGAGAAGAGGTACAATATATGGCTCGGGAACAGCTCCTGAACACTTGGCATTGTCTGCAGTCATAAGACTTGACTTCCTAGAAAGTTTCTTTTTTGCTCGCCTATATTGTCGATCTACACAGTTGGTGTCGGTCGACACCCTTATGTTTAAACGATGCTTGTTGGTAAGCTGAGCAATCCCGGCTTCTGTTGGTATAGTAGAATCCAATTCCTGTGCAGATTCCATGGCAGATTCAACTGAAAAGGATTTACCACTGATAGTTGGTGGAATTCTTGATCCATCCATATCAAAATTCACCTTCAGTTCTCATACATCCAGTGAAATCTGTCCCTTCTTCACAACTATCTTAGCACTAGCTGTGGCTAAGAAAGCTCTACCCAAGGTAAGAAGATATTTGGGTTCTTCATCGTAGTTCAAAACCACGAAATCAACAGGTATAAAACATTCACCAATCTTCACAGGATCATCTTTTAGGATACCTTCAGGGATTCACTTAGAACGATCCGCGAGACTTAGAGAGATCCATGTTGGACTGTAACAAGTCTTACCGAGGCGTACATCAACTGAATGTGGCATTAGATTGATGCTGGATCCAAGATCGCACAAGGAATTAGTGAATCGGCCTGTGGAAATTGAGCAATCAAGAACAAAGCTTCCTGATCAGGTAGCTTTTCATGCATCCTACTTTGAATGATCGAGCTAACGTGTTCAGACACAATCACTTTCTTCTTTTTTTCCTTCTTAACCTCTTGCAGCACTATCATACTGATATCATTGGTAAGAAAAGCAGCTACTTCAGCACATATACCATTGTTGACCAATCTCTTGACATACCGCTTAAGTGGTGGTGAGGAAATCTCTAGATTTACCTTAGGCATTGTAGTCAAGATCTTCTCCATGATTGCTATGCATCTTTCATCCTATATCTCTTGCTTAGATTGATGCGGTTTAAGAAACAAGACCTTAGGCTTGTAGACTGTTTCTCCAAGTGAAAACATAAGAGCATATAGTCCTGTTCACACCTAGTGTCGATCGACACTAGGTGAGTGTCATTCGAAACTCTCGGATGATGTCGACCCATCTGTGTCAAGCTTGGTGGATTCCTCTCTGTCAAACGTTTATACTGTCTCGATAGGGAAGTTGTGTCGATCGACATTGCTGTTGAGTATCAAGCTAGTTTTATTTGTATCGCTCGATTGGTATTCGTTGAACGTTGTTTTCTATGGGAAACAAATGGGTGTCGATCGACACCATGGAGTTTTGGTCGACATTGGCTTTGTAGCAGCGAGCTCAAGCTCGTCCTATGAATCCAATTGTTTCAAAACATCATCCTCATCTCGGACCAAAATAGCAATGAAGGCTCTCTTTGGATTGGCATTAGTCATACCAAGAAGAACACCATCTTGTCTCTTAAAAGATGCGGCAGTTTGAGCGACTTGAACATCAAGTTTCTTCATGTGAGTTTT